CGGGTAATGCAGCATTGTCTACACACTTATACACCGGGTAAGGTAGCATTGTCTACACACTAATACATCGGGTAATGCAGCATTGTCTACACACTAATACATCGGGTAATGTAACATTGTCTACACACTAATACATCGGGTAATGCAGCATTGTATTCAGGATGCCTACCTGCTGGTCGTACTGACAAAGACGCCAAAGTATCCCTAAGCTGCTGAATTTCCGTTGACGATTTTAATTTTTCTTCATTAATGGTTGCCTGAAGTTGGACGTATTGAGCTTGGAGATCAATAATCTGTCGATTGAGAGAGTCCGGATCGCTGAGCAGAATCCTTCTGTCAGCCGACCGCACGATCGTGTATTGTACACACAGGAACAAAACAGAGAACCCTACCATACTGTCTAATCTCAACACAGCTGTGACGTGTGGCCACTCTAGTACCTATCAATTGTACTGACTATCTGCTTATCCAGAACCAAAAGTAGGTGTGACCTAAATGACACAGAAATCTAACAGAGGCTAAGATGTATGTAAATGCATAACAGTATATTGACACTTGCAATACACACAAAGGGTCCTTATTATCTCCTTCGATCATGTGTTTTTATATACTGTAAACCCGTTTAATATACATATACTCAGGATAAAACGATACACAACTATGAAGCTAAATCAATATGACTTTATTTACATTTAACAAAAGTTTTGTATACAAAATCAAACACACATGTAGGGTAAAACACATCTCACAACCATTTTGTTTTCATATTCAGAAGGACACACATATTTAAACGAAATTTCCGCAATATTAACTGAACAGCAGGCCCCATATATATACAAACATGTATTTACCTACAAACACATGTACACCTATACAGATATATTAGACGCTTTTCTTAAACGGAGAACAAATTATAAAAAGGAGAGACCTTGGTGAATTCTTTATAATCCAGCCACCTTGCGATCCTTGCACATACTGCTGGAATTGCAAGACGGTTGGATGACAGGGACAATTTTATACATCAAAAATAGAGTCTGTCCCTAAATCAGTGCCTAGACAGAGGAGCGACCCCGTAAGTGAATGCTGAATAATTAGTATCCTCTTTACCATTTTTTTCTTTGAAAGAAAAGCAATGTGACACTGTGAAATCTTCAAATAGGTATTATCATACAACGTTCATTTAAATATTTCTAGCTTTAAACAGACAAAGGTAAATAAATCAGTGATTTTTCAAATCATACTTCAACAAAAGTTAAAATAAACAGGTCCTGAGAATAAAAATTGTATCTCAGACCGGAATATAAACAGTCATACTTATGTTAAAGATGTACACATAAAATACAAAAGCGAAGTCGGACCTTTTTTTTCTATTTGGCTTAACGTACAAGTTTTTGATAGGAAGAAGGCTTGAATCACGACTATTATTTTATGCTTCAATAGCTCAAGGACTCACTGATTATATCGTAAAAAAATTTTGTCTTTTTTTTAACCGGTTTCCGATATTTTTATCTTTTTTTATGTTGATTTTTTTTTGATTTTTACAGCTTACGAAAACATTTCGGCGAGAAAACTTCATCTTAATGTCTGATTAAGTTTGTGCTGCTCCATCAAAAATTGCCAAATGTCAAATTACAAAACACAAAAAATGAAAAATATATAGGATTAAAATTGTTTTGATGTTTTGATGAATGGCGACATTTGAAGGAATTCGAAGCTATGACCAGGAGAGGACACGCATTGAAAAACGGTAGAATTGTGTTTTGTAGCCGATTCCAAATGGCGTGTAGCCTCGTTATCAAGTGTGGAGTCCCTAGAAGATATATGGCGCCAAACATTATGCTGTCTTATCCAAAACTGTTTAATGCAATAAAATATTGTTTTTGCATATGGTTTAAATGTGAGAAATTATAAATATAATGGTTTCCCCGTTTTCACTCGTGCTTCACCCTTCTGAAAAATATCGTTTTTTTGCAATACTCGTAAAATATGTATGTTATTCACCGGGAAACTATCGGTGAATTTATTGCAAGTCACTCTAACTAAGAATACATTTATACCAAATACATTAGCTTGAAGAAACTACAGCAAATGTATAGATGTAGGACATGTTTGTTCTGACACAATGACGTAAATAAGTATTCAAATCTTCAAATCACGAAGAATATTTTTAGAAAAATAATTGTAGAATAACCTATGCAGTTATGAAAAATTATAATACATTAAAACAAGCATCTTTAAATACGCCATATGGCAGTGGAAATACCATGAGAAATTTTAACTTAAATGGGGCCACACATGTATTTAGAGAAAGAAAATCCAACAAACTGTACGCAACGGGTGTAATCAAATTGCAGTGTATGATTACAACTATATAAAATACATTAAAAACAACATTGTGAAAGTTTCTCTCGACGTATCATATTTCAGATGCATGCGAGATTCAAAATCATTATTCATATTGGTGATTCATTCAAAAGAATCAGAATAGTTAATGTGTTATTAAAAACTGTCTTTCATAAACATATCCTTTACTTAATCAGATGACTATATATTGGTTCTATCAAATCTGGAAACAAAACACTAATGTTAAGGGATCCTAAATAAACACCGTTATATAACACACTAAGTTCTTTTTATTTCTACACACCTTAAATAATGTTAAGGAATTGTTTGGACGTATCAATGTGATGCACACAAACACATGTTTGTGTTGAGCTTGTGAATGGGTGTCTGATGAATTATATTATCTGATACATCGTGACATAGCGTTGTACCAGTAGGTTTGTTCATGGTCATTAGTACTGTGTACCGTATAAAAAGTATTCTTCTTCCATCAACATTGATAGGTCTATATACAGGTAAACATTGGAGCAATGAGCCTCTCTGGTACGGCACTATAAGGACATCCTATACAGGTAAACATTGGAGCAATGAACCTCTCTGGTACGGTACTATGAGGACATCCATATATAAAAATGACGTAAACATACGTCATTGTGAATTTCTCGAATAATAAAAATAGGTCAAAACAAAACAGAAAAACACTAAACATATTGTTAAATCAATTCATTTGTCAAAATTTAAAAAAATCACTGGCACATAACGAAAGACATCAAAATGTCAACATTTTACACGACTTTTGATTTCATAAAAGAAACTTGAGAACACGCATATGACTGTATATACAAGGTGTTTAATCACGGAACTAACACTATCTATCCCATAGAACTATAGCACTATCTGTCCCATAGAACATTAACACTATCTGATAACATTAACACTTTCTGTCCCATAGAACACTAACACTATGTGTCCCATAGAACTATAGCACTATCTGTCCCATAGAACACTAATACTACCTGTCCAATAGAACACTAACACTTTCTGTCCCATAGAACATTAACACTTTCTGTCCCATAGAATACTAACACTATCTGTCCCATAGAACTATAGCACTATCTGTCCCATAGAACACTAACACTATCTGTCCCATAGAACATTAACAATATCTATCCCATAGAACATTAACACTTTCTGTCCCAAAGAATACTAACACTATCTGTCCCATAGAACTATAGCACTATCTGTCCCATAGAACTATAGCACTATCTGTCCCATAGAATACTAACACTATCTGTCCCATAGAACTATAGCACTATCTGTCCCATAGAACATTAACACTATCTGATAAAATTAACACTTTCTGTCCCATAGAACACTAACACTATGTGTCCCATAGAACACTAACACTACCTGTCCCAAAGAATACTAACACTTTCTGTCCCACAGAACTATAACACTAGCTGTCCCATATAACTATAACACTATCTGTCCCATAGAACTATAACACTATCTGTCCCATAGAACTATAACACAATCTGTCCTATATATCACTGACACTTTCCTTGTACGTTTTATCATAGTAAAGTGTAATGTAACATGTAAATAAAAATGAAATAATTGTATATAAAATGTTTATTACTTACATACATTTCTAATACAGCAAATTTTAGCGTTGTATACTATAACGAAGAGTTCGTTCATGGACGCGTTAGTGACATATATTATAAGCGTTCTTGACCCTATAACTGGCGATCCTGACCTCATTTTAAAAACCAACACTGCACAATTACGTCACTGTTGCTCTATCACACTTACAGATATACATGTATGTACTTATTTCAGCTAATGTTACAATGTACATATAGTTAAACTCTGTAATAGCCATGCCAAGGCAGTCAAATTGATTTAAGCATATTTATGGAAGTGGTATTGTACACACATTTCGGCGATACATATATTAATTGGTATTAATCGATATACACCTTACATAAATTTCGTTAATTCAAATGTCTTGTGAAATAAATATTTAGACAAAATTAGCATGACATCGTGAAAATAAGATCATTATGAATGATTCGTTTCAGAAGAGTGATTGCGAAGGTATGTGCTTGTAAAATAAAGTGGCAAACAATATAAACATGATAATGTATATGAAGTCGCTGAGTGTGTCAAGCTCTTTTAGAGGGGGTTGATTATTGGTAAGCTCATAATTATTATTTCATGTAATATGTACATGTGTATTTGTATAGTTTTAATGACTTATTAAAAATAATATTTCAGGAGCATTCCACACTAAGGTAGTATTAAAGCGTAGAGTATTCGATATAGAGGTAAACAAACGAAGCTCAATATCTGCAGTTAACTATTAATACTGTAAAATACCATTATGAGATAAATACATAACAGAAACAATACAACATCTATGTATGTAGTACAACACCTTAAGGATAAACAGCCGCTCGGCATGAGACAGAATGTACATTATAGTTCCCTTTATCACTTAGTTCAATCATATGTTCATCAAATGTCACTCAAACAGAATTTGACCCATTCACACTAAGAAGAGGTAAGCTGATAAGAATATTAATTAATGACTACTACCATTCAAGATGAAATGTGTGCTAATGTTTTTTTCTGAATCTTAATTGAAAGAATTGGCAACAAATTATGTATGTTCTTGCCAGAATTTTAAAAGTCAAGGTCAGACCAGAAAATATCTATATTTAATATTATCTTTGTGATATCTAACTTTAATTATGACTTTTTTGATGGAACATTTTTTTTGCAAATTCCTTTTCTATAAAAATATTCATAATTGGATGCAAAAAAAACTTAGGTTATAACGCAACGTCAACTCACAAATTTAAATGTTGATACGATCATTAAATGTTGACACGAACAGACAAACCTCGGAACTGTGAAAACTCTAGAACAATAAGAACACAACACGAGTCCCGATGGAGTGCGCATCAACAGCTAATGACGACAATGAATACATTTCAAGTATGAGGTTCTTAAGCCATGACCAATACGTGGTACCTATTGTACATTTCATCAGATGATTATATAATTCACTGGGGGAAATACAGGAATCGAACGTTCTTACCTACCTGTAATAAGTCACCGGTATGTTTATTGTTTGTTTTTGTGTTGGGAGTGTAAATGTTCAATATCAACACAAACAATATAAGCAAATAATCAGAAATAATTCAAACACTTCTGTTACTTTCTCAAAAAAGATAACAAAACTACAAAAGATGGGGTTTTAACAACCACCCACCCTTCACGATTTTTTAAAAAATGTTTGCAGCATTTTAGAGTACACTAAAACATAGCCATATATGTCATTTCTTTTCCAGTTGTGAAATGAAAAAGGTTCACAGGACCTGTAATTCACCTTTTTAGACTACATATATTTAAAGTGCCGCAAAGATAACCCTTGTCTACATTTTGGGAAATATTTTTCCCTCAGATTTGTTGAAGACATCGGTTACTTCATTTCAACATCCATAATTATAATTTTGGGAATGATAACATTACTCAAAAGTCAACTTGGGGGGTGAAAAATGAAGTATTTTTCAATTTATCAAATCTCAGTTTTGAATTTAAGTCATTTAACCATTATGCCATAACCTTTATCCACCATATAAAATTATTTCAAAAATAGCTTATATGTATCCTCTGTACACACAAGTAAATTCAGAAAGAAAAAAAAATCGGGAAAATAGTTTTCTAGCATTATGAACATAGGTAGTGAGAAGTTACAGAAATGATGTCGAACATTCTTAAAGTCATTTTAATGAAAAATAGACTTTTAGAATATACACTTACTTGCAAATAATGTTTCATGTGAATAGGACATAGTATAATATACATGTAATAATAGGTAGAGGTAATTTAGTATCAAGTGATGTTATATATGATATGGAAAAGGCCATACCAGGTAATAGGCCATGATGCAACAGTGTTGGAAGTATTCACATAAAAAAGTTAGTGTTCTCCATTAACGTTAACAATTATATAATATTTTGTAAGTAAAGTTGCTGATATTTGTGTGTGGTTTACTAGTTGTCAGGTCTCTATCCATTAACCTACCTGGTTTGGGTGAGCCTAAAAGGAAACTGTGTTTCTGCCATAAAATAATAGTTCTGCATAAAATGTGTTATATGAATTACATTTACAAATACACTAGTTGACTATGCCTTTTGTTGTCAGCTATGCCTAAGGTATATGGTATTTCAATATTCAGGTGTTATATTATAATTAAAATTTAGTACCAGCCTTATTATACATATTAAATTTAAAGTGTAGAAATTGGCAAGGGTGCCCTTTTGGCCTTTATTCATTTGAATAATACATGTACAGGCACAATGAGGAAGTGACACCAGGTTTTACTCATTTGTGTAATTACTTGATATGTTTACATGTTGCTCAACAAAGACCAATATAGTTATTATTTTAGTCCCTATTAAACAACTATTGATAACACGTTTGGATATTGACTTGCAAAATAAAAAGACATTGGCATATTCAGGGTTATTACATTGTTATGCTGAACTTGTTAATGCGACGGCTTGATTTTGCAATCAAATATTATCTAAGTATATTCATTGACAAGTATTATTAAATGCTGGAAAAACACAACAAATATTAAGATTTGATAAAAAAAAATGTTCATGCTATTTCTGCATTATAGAATTATGATGTTTTCTAAAAGTAACATCAAGCTATATATACACCTTTTGATGATAAATAATTATGTAACTATGCTGTGCATTACCCTTTTAAGTTTGTTTTTTTGAACTGGAGACACTTTTCTCAAACTCAAAAGTGTGCACCATTAGCGTTAAGTAGTTCAAAAACTATTTTCCTGGATTTCAATTATTTTCAAATTTTTCTGGTGATAGAATACATATTGAAGCTAATTTTTAAGTAAATCAAAATGGTGGACTAAACTTATATCATACCAAGTTTTTATATTTGTGGCGATAGCCTGGTTTTGAAATTATTAAAAATCCTCTATTTTTCCCCCTTTAACTTTCTGTATACCAATATACCAATACAAGTTTGATAAAAAAAGAAATATTGTTTCAGGAAGGTAACAAAATGAAAATTTATGAAAAAGGTGGTACAAAAACATGCCATTGACGCATGTTTTGACATATGGTCAGTTCACTGAATATGTGGGCCCTTTGGGCCTTTTTAATCTTAAAGATGAAAACGAAAGTGTTTGCTTTGTAAATGCCATTTATAGTACTACAAACATGCAAGTTTTAAAGAAATCCGTGTGTGTGTGTTTTCTATGGGAAAATTAACATTAGCTGGAACCCCACATAAGATAGTCAGCTCAGACTTATAAACATACAAAATCTACAGTACTTTTACACATACCAAATATACAGTATTTGTACAAAAACCAAATATACAATATTCTTACAGCGCCAAATATCGTGTATGAGGTTACGTTAGGATACCGCCCACCGAGTAACATGTTCTGTTAAAAAAGGAAACGTCGGTAAAAGTGGCCTTGCAATATTGAAAATATTTTTCAGGAGGTCATATTAGTTTTAGCCTCGAATTGATGACTTTGTAACGTTTTATTGAATCACGATCCCTTGCTATTTACTGGTGCCAGTCTCAAACAAGCGTTGAATGCTTTAGGCCGAAAAAGGTCTTGCCTATAAATTCTGCATTTAGTAAGACTTAGCTACCGAAAAATACTGTGTTTAACTTTTCAAACGACTAAACATCGATAGATTTTATATGCAACTAATATATCTATACATGTGATAATACAAAAGGGTTTTATAGATGGCAGCAATGAGACGCTGTATTTTCCTACATGTGTTGTCGCAGATCTCGGTCGGCTTATCAACTATCTGGAAAGTCAGCACAGAATAGTGGGCGCAACTATTGACAGCTTGTTCACACTGGCCTCAAGCTCATGTGTGACTGGCTGACACTAGTGACGGCTCTCGTTATCCTTGGACTTGTACTATACTTGTAACAGTCTGTGGTCTCTTCATATTAACAGTCAATTCGATCATGAACTTCTCAAAGATAAAGTCTATTACTAGAACGAACGGGTGGATCGTGAAGATACACACATATATTGTATGGTTTGTACAATGTGACAGGGACAGAGAGACACGAAGAATAATTTAAAATTCTCAAAATATTATATGTATACACCAGCAATAAGAATGTTACAAGATAAGACTAAATGGACCTTGTACACTAATGGATCACACTACACGTAGGCTTCACAGACCTCAGCACAACTCTTTATTGCATAGCATTTATTGCATAGGTTTCCCAATAGGCTGAACATGATATGTATGCACCAGTGTACATAGAGTGCCGTATCACGTGACCCGTTATTCCAACCTTGGTAAACTTAACAAGGAAATAACGCGAAGGTAAGGAAACTATTAGAATTTCAACCTTAGAAATGCAACAATATTCAGAAAGCTACATGCAAAAAAAACCACTGTTCTTACATATATATATATATATAGCGAACTATTATGTGACGTCATAGTTTATGAAGTCAATACTTCAAATAAACAGTCTGAAGAATCTCCTAGAAGAGATGAAAGTTCTAAAGACTCGTTGTTTAGAATTTTTCTTTATATATAATATATATATATATATGTACAAAACGTATATTAAAATTATCTAAATTCACAAAATCAAACGTTACTTTAACTGACGAAGTGACCATTTAACGATACGAAAAACTTAAACGATATCAAAAGAAATATAAACATATCAAATTATATCAAAAGTCACAAGAAATGCCTTCATGTTTATAAATTAAAATGGAAGTCTACCTAAGATAGCAATATGCACCTAGGAATATTTATCGTATGGAGTAGTATTTCTCTGCATTGAACGACGGTCTTTATACAACATATGATATTATATGAAATGGACGTGAGGCGCAAGGTACCTCTGATGATGAACACATCTACATTCTCACTCTCTAGTCCTCATTCACCTATTTAACGATCTCACTGCAATTCATGACATATACACTATCAAATATCCTTTAAAATATCAGAGAGATCAATCACTTATTTTCAGTCCAATAATGTCGCGGATCCCCCGTGGCAAAGTGTTGTCCTAATACAGGGTCGTGATAGTCCGTTAGAAAGGGTTCCTGGTGACAAAACGTTACTGAAGGAATTTACATCCCTGGTTTCTTTTCCCTGCCAATCAGACATACTCAAGTTCTTCAAAATTGTCTTTGAAACGTAAATGTTACTGATACGATAACAGAACTGCTGTGGATGGTGTAATCGTCATGTCGTACTATCTGCGAGTCCTGCAGGTCGCGCAGCAGTTGAGACCATAGAAATCGTGGTCACAAACATTATGTTCTGGGACCAAATGACACCAGGCATATTTATCGAGGCAGCCAGATCCTGCAAACAAACAAAGCATTCATGACAATCAGTCATATTGATCGTTACAGCCCTGTTCTGTAAACCCATCAAACAACGTTGACAATCAGTCTTGTTTAACAACAATAACAACTTCACTTTATCATATCACAGTAGACATCATGATCAAACCATTGTATCTCACTAACGTTAACTTTTTGTATTCATCATACAAATAGATTTGTGTGGCATACGTCAAATATTCTAATTTGTATGGAAGGTTCGTCCACCAAATTAGCTCGGTTTAGCGTTGGTTGACCGAACATTTACCAAAGTTACATTTGTACAGAAAGTGAACCGGACATTGTTTGTATATGGATTTTTTACAACATTAACACCGATAAACAATGAGGCAACCAAAGTACGTTGTATAAATAATGATATTTTGTTTGTTTGATTTTTACAACAGATAACTTATATATTATAAACATAAGGTTATATGACGCCATAAACAAGCGTGTGTTAATGTATAGTTTTAAAATGTGTGTATATCAGGTTATCCTGAAATCGTTCTTTTGGTATATGAAATGTCAAGTATAAGAAAACAGCAAACTTCATTTCAGTTCTTCCAAGAAGTGCATGATCAGACTATTTGATTGATTCAGCAATAGGATTTATGATCAAACTATTTGATTGATTCAGCAATAGGATTTATGGATACTTAGGCTACAGATGCCACAACGATAAACAGAACAAAGGTGGTCGGAGTAAGCAATCACCACTATTATAAGCGACAAGGAACTATGCCTACCATTTTGTACACAGCTAGCACTACGACAGTTCCGCGACGTCTCTGGCTTCGTTTCCGGATCACATCCGCGGACCGCTTCGCCTCTATGGTTGACGCATTTCACCTGCCTTCTCTGTTCGCCATCGCCACACGTCACTGAGCACTGGAGCAACAGTAACACACAGTCTATACTATGGTCATCGATATCGATGGTAAACAGTTAGGTACGGTAGGAACTATTTTGAAAGTATTAAAACAGATATTCCTAACAAAGGTTATTCATGTTCCAATTAATAAGATTAATAAGATTATAAAATTGAACAATATTCCAGACAGTGTACATCTTGTATAAAAAATATCTATCAAATTCTAGGAAAGAAGAGGCGTAAATGTTATATATGATAAGCCTTCGAAATAACAATAGCTTATCGCTTAATCCATTGTTAAAACTTTTGTCATGGCCACATTAACTATAACTGTAAAAGGAAAATTTCAGATTTCAAAGTACAAACATTGTTGAGAGTTAAGAAAACGCTGCGTAAGCAATGTCAAACACACAAACAAAAAGAACAATGGATGCTTAAAGCAAAAACAAACTGATCCGTACGACTAAGCATACATTTAAGGCGCTTTTTTGTCTTGTACACATTTTATTTAGTGTTTTGGTAAAGGGAACTAAAATTAGTATCGGTTCAATAGTATCAGTTTGCCAGAATAGAACTACATATAAGTGAGGACTTTACACTTCAGAATAGATTAAAACTACATATAAGTGAGGACTTTACACTTTAGATCAAACTCTACATATAAATATAACAGAAGGAGATTGACCAGAGTAACGACATGTCCTTGTTATTATGTGTAAACTTTAAAGTGTCCCACCTGGGACCACGCTGATACCGTCCACCGCAGGGACCAGACGAGCGACATAGGGCAGATCATCAGCTGGCAGGGCTCCGTCATGGCGACGCTGGGTTTGGGAACCGTCTCGCAAAGACTGTTGTTGACGGCCACGTATTTACGTGTCCCCGTAACGCTTTTTTGCCGACATCTTAGGTAACGCGAACGAACCCCTCGCCCACAGGTTTTAGAACACTGCAGAAAAGCATTAAAGGGCTTTAGATTCTTCAATGAGAAACAGGCTTTCAAACAAGCATCAAAACACACAAGGCAAGGACAGATTTGTCTAAGTAAGCCAATCATTGATTTTTGTTGTTAAGTTAGTGTTCTAGTCACTATTTGAATACGATGAAAAAAATCAAAGAAAAGCCACTTTTTGACTAATCAAACGTTTAGAACATAAACATGTATTTAGTTTGATAAATAAATAAAAATGCTATTGAATAAATCATCAGTTGCGATACCTACTAATACTGCAGTACTAAAACACCGCTGTTTCAGGGCTCTAGAGCGAAAAGGCAAGCAGCGAAACGTGTTAAAACTGATAAATAAGAAGTCGAATCTTAATTCAAGCACAATCCAGTTAAGCACCGTTATCGAGTAATATATGATTTCGGAACAGATTCTGCTATGAAAGTACTAGTGAAGCTCAACACTTCAACTTCACACCTCAACAAACGAACTCATCACTTACCGGTCCCCATGGTGACAGGTGCCAATCGTTATTATCTCTGTTTGGACACGCCCTCTTCCGGCACGTTTTGATAATATCTGGTTTGGATGCCTGGCAGCTTGTTTCCTGTAGAAGTTTATAACCTTTGCGCAACCTTTGACGACACGTGACCTTACGTGTTCGTTCCCCGATACCACAGCTAACTGAGCACTGAGGGAAATCAGAAGATCGTTACAGATTAACGTAACACACAGAACACTCAGGTGACTTCACCGTTAAAATTTGGTACTATACCATACAGTTAGGTGAACCTAGGGGCCAAAACGTTTAAAATATCAATGGTTTAAACAAAGGGGCACACTAGAAACGCGCTTTACATTTGTTTCCTTGTGTGACATTATACATTTCCCATGTACTGTATGATTCTATTCTATAACTATTCGATGACGATTTAGGGCCCTACTGTATTATTGTTTTAGGACATCCATTACACTATTCACAACGATTGTTTTTAATATAGTGTACATCTTATACCATGACCCCCTAACTTAATTTACAATGACCTTGTGTGACTCTAACGATCGATCTCATCTTAATACCTCTGTACTTTCCGGAGATGTTTTTATTTTTAGGTTGCTACCTCGCTATTTTTTGCCCTTTAAACAACGGATTACTTGTGTTTCAGGCGGAAGTGTTTATTTGATAAGGGAAGATAATAAGAGGACGAAGCTATACCTTTGACCATTTCCCGGCGTGCCAGTCAGGGTGGCACTCTTGTTCGTTACACCTTCGTGACCGGAGGGGGCGTGGTAGATGTGTGCACGAGGATCGACGTAGCTTCTTATTCTTGGTAGAAGAAATCGTCTGACGACAGTATATTTTCCGCTTCTGATGTCCCCCTCCACAAGTCCTGGTACAGGCTTGCCACTCCTCAGGGATCCACCTAGGAGCGGTAAACCATGTAGAATTATTTATACACCAATATACATAGAATGGAAAAAAATCTCATTCAGTTCCCCCCTTGAACTAGCTAATGTCGGTATGCTACTTATCTATGATTCATCTAGGGGGAAAAACTTAAAATAACTTAATAAAGATATCCAGGAATAAATCACATTCAGTTTAGTCTCATTCAACCAGACGCTTGATCATTTCTACTTCAAGAATTCACAAACAGCAAGAGTCTGGTTGAACAAGACTACATTCAGTTCTTCTGTATCCTATCAGTTCTTTCTGTCTCTCCTCCGCAGTCCAAGCAGTAGTGAGAGAGAAGATACATAGACGTGAATACTTTCAATATGAATAAACAAGCATTACAGAAAACATACCGTTCCACTGCGTACCGGAAAATATCTAGCACAACAATACAACAGAGTGGGTTGATGTTTTAATAAGATATGAATATTCATAAGCAACCGAAATATAAACTTAGAAACATATCTGGTATGTCAGTACATCGTTTAACAAATAGACTGGAACAAGAACAAAATGAAAATAGGACCAAAAAGGAAAGCAATCAGAACGATGAAGCATAGTCTCATTAATAAAATGCTGACAGCCTTGTACAAGTGCTTTTGATAAAAATTGTTGAAAAGAAGAAGAGAAGAATAAAACACTGTAAAGCGAAATATAAATCAGATATGTGACAGCATTATAACATATTTGATGCTTTTGATTCTTTTTCACTAGCAAGACACAGGGTCACATAAGCCTGATGATTCGTGTCATGAAGGAGTTGTTATTTATCTATGTTAGCATTTGGACATATTAAAAGAACATACATGTAGGTAAATGTTAGAAGGATGTTTTTCTACACATTGCTAAGCGGACATGGCAAATGACAGACATCCTGTTTACAAATGAATGTCTTGGTGCGGGGGACATTATTTTGATACAACTCGTAGATGGGTTTTTACGTGCAATGTAAGCTTTAATCCGAAAGACAAACTTCTCCACAAAAGCGTTTTTACTGGAAGTGGTTTTTAATTTTAAACAAAAACATATATTACACATACAATTGTGCAGTGCAGATAATATTGTTAGTTAATTGTTTGTTTTGCTGCTATTGGCGACACAATGTCATCAAATCCGTGACTTTCTGATAGAGAGTTACATGTAGCAAGAGCTAATGACAAATGACGGCGTAGGGAGAATTTTAAAATATGATTTTCTTCCAGGTTTTGCCTACATTTTACACTTCGACACTAGCGCGTTATGCGAAACAAAGTTTGTAGAAAGATGTATTTCTCGAGTTGAAATTCTAAAGTAAAACCAAAGTATCAATCCTACGATATCGCTCATTGTAAGTATAAATAACATCTATATACAGTTTTTATTTGTTTTAAATATAACTTGTGTAGAAATATATTTACTGTGACGTCACGAGTTGTTCATGATGAAAGGAATTGGCTTTCTGCTTTTTGGTTTCCGAGGATTTTTAACAATAAGTGGAAATGTTAATTGTAAGATAAACAGAATATCGCTCGTTTCGATTCCATCTTATTATTTTGAGCGTGTGTAAACCCCTTTTCGTATGGGTCATTTCCAACGTTGGAGATTCAGAACATAATACACATAAAACATACCTTGGTGGACAAGCCATCTCGTTACAGGGAAACATTCCTGTTTCTGGTTTCTCGTCCTGGTTGCATTCCGTCGAGTTCACTTCCTGATACAAATTCTTGTGACATAGCGCAGTTACAGTCTTTGATCCTAAAGACGACACAATTCTACATAAAAAGATGGTTTATTTCTGTGAAGCAATTATAAATAAGCCGGAGCCCAGAGGATAGCCGGGCCAGAAATGGCCAACCTACAAGTTAAAGATAGCCGGGCCAAAAATGGCTAATCTACAAAGTAAAGACAGTCGGGGCCCAAAATAGCTAAATCAGATCAGCTTGGATTTGGTTTGGTTTGGTTAAGTATTGTTTAACGTCCCATCAACAGCTATGGTCATTTAAGGACGGCTTCCCCTGTGTGCAAGATGCATGCGTATAGTGTATGCGTGTGTGTTTTGGGAGGCTACGATATGTTCGTGTTTGTCTCCTTGTGATAGCGCGGAACTAATGCCGACTTTATAGTGCTACCTCACTGAAACATACTGCCGAAGACACCCATCAGGACACCCCACCAGGTCACATTATACTGACAACGGGCGAACCAGTCGTCTCACTCCTAAATTGCTGAGCGTTAAGCAGACTAGAAACTACCATTTTTACAGACTCTGGTATGTCTCGGCCAGGGGACAGAACCCAAAGCCTTCTTCAAAGAGGCGAACGCTCAACTAAAGGCCAAAAGTGAGGCATTGTCAAGGGAGACATTAGGAAGAAGAAAGTAGAGAAAATATAAGATCCCAAATTGAGTAGCCTCTTACGGGCAACAGGTAGAGGTACAATTCTTACGCCCTACCTGCAGGGACAGAGACAGATTGGAACCAAACTGGTTAAGGTAGAGATAGCTTGGAACCAAACTGGTTAAGGAAGAGACAGATTGGACCACAACTAGTTACTGTAGAAACAGCTTGAAACCAAACTGGTTAAGGAAGAGACAGCTTGGAACCAAACTGGTTTACTCCGCTATCTTCATCATTTCTGCAATTTAGGCCTTTTAGATTTGAAAAAACCCAATCAATTTGTGATATATTTATTTAGATGGTTTTAACATTTATGAATTGATAAACAAAAATGTACATTTCTCCTCATAAGCGTAATGTATATTTATTTTTCGACATTTTGTTTTTAATTCTGAACTTTGAGAGGAAGTTACGAAGATCTAAATAAGACATGTTACACACCTCTTGTGGGTGGATCGGGTGTGCTTTAAGTTTATTCCCAAACGGTAAATAATAAACTGCAAGAACACAAATTAACTTAATAAGTTGGATACATTTAACATTTGATTTAGAGACGAATGTTACGCGATTTAAATACAATACATTGCACAACTGTTAAGGGTAAATAAGGACTTCTTAAAAATTTATAAAGATATCTTCAGCGTTCAGGCTAGACTTAACTAAAATCTCTACTCATTTAATCATTGACCTTGAAGTAATAGCAATAATAACTTAATAAAAGTTTCCTGCATTTTTGCTGCGGGTGATGCATGCACAATTCATCAAGACGTATTTAAGGGTTTTAACAATAACGGTTCAGACAAGATTTCACTGGAAATTCACAACTAGCGATTTTTCACGGGTAGAAAGATGGCTGATGAGTTACTTACCCCCCGCGCAGGGTTCGGAACAGGAGGATACTGATATACTCCATGTATATGTCTTGGGGGTTTCCGTCACCATCATCGTGTCGTTAGGAGGGCGGGGCATGTAATACTCGTACGAAATCCCGGTGTTGTGATCTTGGACGAGGATCTGTAATAATTCAACGTAAGGATATCGGTAAGTTTCTGTCTTATGTCAATCAGAAGAATCCGTGCTGATAAGACGCATGCGTACATGTTGTACTTTTCATGGGCCATAAATGCTTGAAAAATTGAAGTCACTTTTTGTTTTGACATTATGTCTTTTCGTAGTACATGCACCATTGTGCTTATTTTGCATTGTTTAGATATTTTTGCTACAATTCTGTTCACATTGATGATGAAAGTAAGAAAAAATTCTGTACGTGTCACGATTGAGTATTCATTTAAAGTTTAAGACTTTTGCTCACAGTTACGTTTTCCTCAAATTTCAATTCCATTTTTAAACTCAAGGAAACATGAAAATCTTATCTTCTGAGGTATAAATCACGTACAAATCTCCTTTGCATGCATTGAAACAGGGTTTCATTACATTTGACAATTTTTGATCAATTTAAATATTCATCTAAAAAGGTGTAAAAACAGTTATCTTTTGTTTGTAGGATTTCACACACGGGTTGCTACAATTTGGTAATTCGGCACCATTTTCAAAAATTGTGTTTTTCTTGTATTCTACGCAATTCTAAAATTGTACTTTTTTGACATTACATTACTCACTAACACGTTAATTGTTTACAGGTGAAAATAATACATAATAATTTAACAAAAAGGCGCACGCGGACAATTGATTTAGAACAAGAAAATGCATGAACAACAAATAAAATTATCAAATTTTCTTATATCAACCGTTAATTCAATAAGAAATGGTGTGAAAAACTTGCTTTACTGAGATTACCATATAATTTAAGGACATTTCACTTCAATATCTTCAATGAAATTCATCAGTTTGGAAATATGTGATATCAAAGTTTCACTTTCTACACAAACAATGTACGTGTTAAACGTAACGCAACACGTTTAGTACATACGTACCTTGACAAAAGGACCAGTTGGTATTAAAACGTTGCGTCAAGTTTAATACGAACATTGTTTGTGTAAAACTTTGATATTTCACTTCCATAATTTATCATTATCGTTGTTTTTGTTCTACATAGTGTAAATCATTGATTTCTAGTAAGTAATCTTTGAAAGAAATTGGATTTATTGTTTTCTGCATAAGGCCAAAACAATTAATTTCACCAAAAATCACATATCATGCAATTTTTGTATCTTTGACCGATCACAGATAAAACCTATCGAACATAGCACATAACTTTTTCTTTGGAATTTATTTGTTAACTGTTTAAAGTTAGGTATGACTTAAGGAAAAATAAAATATAGAAAGTATAAAATCGTGACTTTTCACAATCGCAAATCCTTAACGCGAATGTTTGATATCATGAACATGTGATGCTTTTCGGATGAATCGTATGATGTTTGACCTTTAATGTAAGAAGGCTGACCTTTAATGTAAGAAGGCTGACCTTTAATGCTCATATATAACGTAAGAATGTATAATATGTATCTATTAAAACCCCTCTTTAAATGTTATATAAACTTTGTATCATTCTGTAAATCATTATATAGATCAGACCTTTTTTTAGAAATCAGAATCACTTATACTTCCGTTCATGAGCAGGCAGAAACGATTCTGAGACAAAACCGATTAGGTGGGTATTGGTGTTGATTCTAACTGAAAAGTCCTTTTCCATTAAATATCTGTGTTCAAGTCTCTTAAATTTATCGTTTTAAATCTGATAAAATTCAATACTGTTCGCTATGTCAGTCAGAGGTGATCGAGACATGTTCGAAAAGTTCACATATAGAACGGGAATAATCCTATAACCCGTCAGATTCAGGGGCAGTATGACAAATAATGTTGTAGGGAAAATACATCATTATTGTATCTCTATTTACACGAAAGAGCAGGAAATATTTCTATATCTATATGTTTCGTTATTGTATCTCTATTATACATCTGTATGTTTCGTTTACTAATAGATACACAACATTTATTTAAACATGAACTCGCGAACCTCTATCACAAGATCCTCGGTCAAAGGTCCTGTGCTCACAAGTACTTCCGGTTCATCGTACGCACGCCGGTAGTAGAATCTTGCTCCTCCGAATGTGTATTCACCCGGCCACGCTACACGACGCTGTCCGTTAAGGTAATACTTCCCGAAGATGTCGCGGATCGCTATGTAGTTGGAGGTCAACGACTTTTCTAGGATGCGTATTGAACGAGAATTCTTCGGGAGGATGGCCACCGGAAAGTATGCTGTAAAAGAAAGGATTTCTTAGTAATTTTCTGGGGGTAAGACATAAAAATAAACGAGTACGGCAGGGAGCGGGACTAAGTCCATCATGTGCCATTTAAAGCATCTCTTCCAGAGGGTCTAACAGAGAGTCATTCTGCCGACCTAGGAAAGTCTAAGAATATCTGGGATGTATAATTAGAAATGGGAAAAACAAATGCCGTAGGGTAATTCTCTAGCAAGCGGTACATAAATATGTAATGAAATTATCTCCCCTTTCCATAATTCTTATCATATTCAAATATGTTTAAAAAAAAAGACAAAGGCCGATAGCTTTGTATATATGTATAGTGACGCGTAAGGCTGATAGCTTTGTATATATGTATAGTGACGCGTAAAGCCGATAGCTTTGTTTATGTGTATAGTGACGCGTAAAGCCGATAGTTTTGTATATGTGTATAGTGACACGTAAGGCAGATAGCTTTGTATATGTGTTTAGTGACACGTAAGGCCGGTAGCTTTGTATATGTGTTTAGTGACACGTAAGGCCGGTAGCTTTGTATATGTGTTTAGTGACACGTAAGGCCGATAGTTTTGTAGATAGTTTTGTATGTGTGTATAGTAACGCGTAAGGCCGATATCTTTGTATATGTGAATAGCGACGTGTAAAGCCGATAGTTTTGTTTATGTGTATAGTGACGTGTGAAGCCGATAGTTTTGTATATTTGATTAGTGACGTGTAAAGCCGATATCTTTGTATATGTGAATAGTGACGTGTAAAGCCGATAGTTTTGTATATGTGTATAGTGACACGTAAGGCAGATAGCTTTGTATATGTGTATAGTGACACGTAAGGCCGATAGCTTTATGTATGTGTATAGTGACACGTAAGGCCGATAGCTTTGTATATGTGTATAGTGACAAGTAAGGCCGATAGCTTTGTATATGTGTATAGTGACGCGTAAGGATGATAGCTTTGTAAATGTGTATAGTGACGCGTAAGGCCGATAGTTTTGTATATGTGTATAGTGACACGTAAGGCCGATAGCTTTGTATATATATATAGTGACACGTAAGGCCGATAGCTTTATATATGTGTATAGTGACACGTAAGGCCGATAGCTTTGTATATGTGTATAGTGACACGTAAGGCCGATAGCTTTGTATATGTGTATAGTGAC